AAATGATTGATGGTGATTTTTTTTTTTTTTAGGGGGGGGACCTATCTTTGTTGGAAATGGTCATTGTGGCTACTGAAAAAGTTTTGTATTTTATTTTGTGCCAGGGTTATTAAGGTACAGTATAACAATCTTGAAAAGAAAAAGCTCCAACTCTAGGGCTCATAGCAGTGTAATGTACAGTATAATTTTGTAGTATTTCTGGTTATATTGTAAGTCTCTAATACAGGAAAATTTCAGCAGAATGATTTGTGACTTCTCCTTTAACTCTTTGGGAAGTAATACCTCATTTATGTGAGAGATGACCAAACACCCTCATTTTACCCATTCCTACGTAGAGTACTGTACGTCATTGATAATTCAGCCTCTTTGAGAGAGACGGGTGCACCACATTTTTAACAACAGATGATCACATTTTTATTTTTCCTTTATTTTGTACATTTTTTTGTCAGAGCAAAATAAGACCATCGAATTATGTTGGAAGCCAAATAACTGATCTCTGCATAATCGATCATTTACTGTACTATAACTGCATATAATACTTTATAATCTAATACATGTATACTAGTGAGTGAGCCAGCACCTACCATGGTAACATTAAGTACTGCTGGCATTTCTTTCAAATTTTGCCTGAAGTATCAGTACGTATTGGATTAAATGAAATACAGTATTTGGCATTCCCTTCAGACATTGTCCATAACTGTAGATTGGCTGTTTATGAGACTATTTACATTTTGTCAAATACAGTGGTCCCCCGCTTTTCGTAGTTCCCGGCAATCGTAAAATTCGCCAATCATAGAGGTATTTTTGTATAAACATGGACTCGCTTTTCATAGGTTGACTCGCGAGTCGTAGTTCGTCCGGGACGCGTACCCACGGCGTGAGCCAGGGCGGCAGCCAGTCTGGCATTGTTTACCAGTGAGCGAAGGTCCCCTCACGTGCTCCAGCGAAATATTTCATAATATTCCATTTATTTTAGTGCTTGCAAGTACTAAATAAGCTACCATGGCTCCAAAGAAAGCTCCTAGTGCCAAGCCTGTGGTAAAGAAGGTGAGAAATACGATTGAATTTAAGAAAACCATCATTGAACAATATGAAAGTGGTACAAGTGTGGCCGAACTGTCCAGGATGCATAAGAAACCCTACACAACCTTATTTTCCATAGTGGCCAAGAAAAATGAAATAAAGGATGCTGTTGTTCCAAAGGGAGTAACTATGCTGACAAAAATGAGATCACCAGTACTGGAAGAGGTTGAGAAGTTATTATTGGTGTGGATAAATGAGAAACAATTAGCAGGAGATACTCTTATGACTTCGTTTATTTGTGAAAAGGCTAGGCAGTTGCATGAAGATTTGGTAAAGAAATTGCCTGCAAATAGTGGTGAAGTGAGTGAATTTAAGGCCAGCAAAGGCTGGTTTGAGAGATTTAAGAACCGTACTGGCATTCACAGTGTGGTAAGGCATGGTGAGGTTGCCAGTTCGGACCACAAGGCGGCTGAAAAATACGTGCATGAATTCCAGGAGTACATAGAGGCTGAAGGACTGAAACTTGAACAAGTGTTCAATTGTGACAAAACAGGCCTCTTTTGGAAGAAAATGCCCAAGAGGACCTTCATTACACAAGAGGAAAAGGCAATGCCAGGACACAAGCCTATGAAAGACAGGCTGATGCAAATGTTCTGTGCTAATGCTAGTGGGGATTTCAAAGTGAAGCCATTACTAGTGTACCATTCTGAAAATCCCAGAGTGTTCAGGAAAAACAATGTTATGAAGAGTAAATTGTGTGTGTTTTGGAAATCTAATAGTAAGGCATGGGTCACGAGGGAAATTTTCGTCGAGTGGTTCAATGAAGTGTTTGGCCCTAGTGTGAAGGAGTATCTCCTGGAAAAGAAATTGGATCTCAAGTGCCTGCTAGTAATGGACAATGCACCTGCTCATCCTCCAAACTTGGATGAACTAATTTTCGAGGAGTTTGGGTTCATCACAGTAAAGTTCTTGCCCCCGAATACCACTCCTCTCCTCCAACCCATGGACCAGCAGGTTATTGCAAACTTTAAAAAACTCTACACAAAAGCAATGTTTCACTGGTGCTTGACTGTGACCACAGACACTCACTTGACCCTAAGGGAATTTTGGAGAGAACACTTCAGCATCCTCCACTGCATAACCCTTATAGGTATGGCTTGGGAAGGAGTGGCTACCAGGACTTTGAACTCTGCCTGGAGAAAATTGTGGCCAGATTGTGTCGACAAGAGGGATTTTGAAGAATTTGGGACTGACCCTAATGAGCCTATGTCTGTTGTAAAATCAATTGTGGCACTGGGGAGTTCCATGGGGTTGGATGTGAGTTTGGAGGATGTGGAAGAATTGGTGGAAGACCACAATGAAGAGCTCACCACTGAGGAGCTGCAAGAGCTTCAGCAGGAAGAGCAACACATCGCAGCTCAGAATCTTGCTGCAGAGGAGGAGGAAGAGAGATGGAAGAAGGTGCCTTCTTCAGAAATTAAAGAGATTTTTACTATGTGGGGTAGATGGAAAGCTTTATGGAGAAACATCACCCTAACAAGGTTGTTGCAAGCCAGGTTGGCAACATGTACAGTGACAAAGTCTTGGGCCATTTTAGGGAAGTGTTAAAGAGATGCCAGGAACAGAGCTCTCTCCACAGTTATTTTGTGAGACAGGACTCCAGTGACTCTCAAGGTGGTCCTAGTGGCATTAAGAAACAGAGAAGAGAAGCAACCCCAGAAAAGCAAATGGTACCTGAGGTGTTGATGGAAGGGGATTCCCCTTCCAAACTAAAAACAATCCACTCTCTCTCCTCCTCCAGTCTCCCATACACTAAGAAGAATCTCCAATATAGGTAAGTGTTATGCTGTTAAAGTTGCATTCATCATTTCCCATTGTATTGTTTATGTACTACATGCATATTTCATGTTAAAAAATTTTTTGTTTTAATACTTCTGGGTGTCAGGAACGGATTAATTGTATTTACATTATTTCTTATGGGGAAAATTGATTCGTAAATCGTAAATTTCGTTTATAGTAACGGCTCCAGGAACGGATTAATTATGAACAATGAGGGACCACTGTACATTTTATTTCAATATAATTTATTCATTAGAATAAGAAAAATTATTTACTAAACTTGAACAATAACCTATGAAATTACCTCCATGAAGCAAGAATTTTCACAAATACTATATTTGAAGAGGGTTGGGCTCCAGTGATAAGACTCAGAAGAACCATGGAGTCTTTAGGGTCTTCTTGAACAATTAAACTCCTGCTGTTCTTATTTTTTCTTCTAAAGTTTACTGTACATCACTCTCCTTGGAACTACTGTAATTTCAGTGTGTGCTTGTGGAATTAGTCCTTGATTAGCTAAGCTACAATGACTCTGTTGGCCTTTGGGTGACAGTCAACAATAACAATTCCTGGCATGCTAGTTTTGTCGCATTTACGAAAAATTGCACTGTATAATGGAGCTTTGTAAGAGAGTCAACTTCAAAACTCCTACTGAGGGAAAAGTCTGACCAAAACGTAGTCATAAGCTCCTCTCTCCTGAGTGGTGGTTACTTGTGTTTTGTTCCAGTCGCAGTATTGTGCCTTTTTGTTCTTTCTAGTGGCTTATTAGTTGTACATGTGCCTATGTAGTCCATATATTGCTTTTGCCAGTTGATAATTCAAGTATATATTTTAATTATTATATTTTTGAGGAAATGCTAAACCCAAAGGGGTCATACAGCACCTGGTATTGTAGTTTTAGCTAATTTGCCTTATTTTACTAATAAGTTGAAGCTCCTAGTTCTCCTGTTGTCCCTCCATGGTGCTCCTCTTGCTCTTCCATGGTGCTCCTCTTGCTCTTCCATGGTGCTCCTCTTGCTCTTCCATGGTGCTCCTCTTGCTCTTCCATGGTGCTTCTGTTGTCCCTCCATGGTGCTCCAGTTGCCCTTCCATGGTGCTCCTTTTGCTCTTCCATGGTGCTCCTCTTGCTCTTCCATGGTGCTCCTCTTGCTCTTCCATGGTGCTTCTGTTGTCCCTCCATGGTGCTCCAGTTGCCCTTCCATGGTGCTCCTTTTGCTCTTCCATGGTGCTCCTCTTGCTCTTCCATGGTGCTCCTCTTGCTCTTCCATGGTGCTCCTCTTGCTCTTCCATGGTGCTCCTCTTGCTCTTCCATGGTGCTTCTGTTGTCCCTCCATGGTGCTCCTCTTGCTCTTCCATGGTGCTCCTCTTGCTCTTCCATGGTGCTCCTCTTGCTCTTCCATGGTGCTCCTCTTGCTCTTCCATGGTGCTCCTCTTGCTCTTCCATGGTGCTCCTCTTGCTCTTCCATGGTGCTCCTCTTGCTCTTCCATGGTGCTCCTCTTGCTCTTCCATGGTGCTTCTGTTGTCCCTCCATGGTGCTCCTCTTGCTCTTCCATGGTGCTCCTTTTACTCTTCCATGGTGCTCCTCTTGCTCTTCCATGGTGCTCCTCTTGCTCTTCCATGGTGCTCCTCTTGCTCTTCCATGGTGCTTCTGTTGTCCCTCCATGGTGCTCCTCTTGCTCTTCCATGGTGCTTCTGTTGTCCCTCCATGGTGCTCTAGTTGCCCTTCCATGGTGCTCCTTTTGCTCTTCCATGGTGCTCTTCTTGCTCTTCCATGGTGCTCCTCTTGCTCTTCCATGGTGCTTCTGTTGTCCCTCCATGGTGCTCTAGTTGCCCTTCCATGGTGCTCCTTTTGCTCTTCCATGGTGCTCCTCTTGCTCTTCCATGGTGCTCCTGTTGCTCTTTCCATGGTGCTTCTGTTGTCCCTCCATGGTGCTCCTTTTGCTCTTCCATGGTGCTCCTCTTGCTCTTCCATGGTGCTCCTCTTGGTCTTCCATGGTGCTCCTCTTGCTCTTTCCATGGTGCTCCTCTTGGTCTTCCATGGTGCTCCTCTTGCTCTTTCCATGGTGCTTCTGTTGTCCCTCTGTGGTGCTCCAGTTGCTCTTCCATGGTGCTCCTCTTGCTTTTTTCATGGTGCTCTTGTTTTTTTCATGGTGCCCCTGTTGCTTTTTCCATGGTGCTTCTGTTGTCCCTCTATGGTGCTCCTTTTGCTCCTTCCATGGTGCTTCTGTTGTCCCTCTGTGGTGCTCCAGTTGCTCTTCCATGGTGCTCCTTTTGCTTAACCCATGGTGCTCCTGTTGTTTTTTCCATGGAGCTCCTGTTGCTTTTTCCATGGTGCTCCTGTTGTTTTTCCATGGTGCCCCTGTTGCTTTTTCCATGGTGCTCCTTTTGCTCTTCCATGGTGCTCCTGTTGTTTTTTCAATGGTGCTCCTGTTGCTTTTTCCATGGTGCTCCTGTTGCTTTTTCCATGGTGCTCCTGTTGTTTTTTCTATGGTGGTTCTGTTGTCCCTCCATAGTACTCCTGTTATCCTTCCATGGTGCTCCAGTTGTCCCTGTATTGTGCTCCTATTGCTCTTCCATGGTGCTCCTGTTGCTCTTCCATGGTGCTCCTGTTGCTTTTTCATGGTTCTGTTGCTCTTCCATGGTGCTCCTGTTGCTTTTTCATGGTGCTCTTCTTGCCCCTCCATGGTGTTCCTGTTGCTTTTTCATGGTGCTCTTCTTGCCCCTCCATGGTGCTCCTGTTGCTTTTTCATGGTTCTGTTGCTCTTCCATGGTGTTCCTTTTGCCTCTATGGTGCTCTTATTGTCACTCCATGAAGTTCCTATTCCTCTCTCTCCCCTCCACCCAATCTACCTCTCCCTCCATCCCTCCCCCTCCTCATCTCCCTCCCTCCTTCAAATCAGCTGATATCAGTGTGTCCAGTCACCAGTTGACAGCAACGGTGATGCCACCGAGTTCCTTTAACTTGTCCTTTTACTATATTTTGTCTATATTTTTTATCTTTATTCTTGAATAGAGTTTCCACTGTATCTGAAGAGTATTATTTGCAGAATCAGTTGGAAGATAGGTTGTGATTTTATTCCTATCAGTCAAAGAAAAAAAATGGCAAGACTTGATATCTGTGACAGCATGTTGACATGTTCGATTCTTCCCTCGTCTGTGTCTTTAAATTTTCTTGATATCTCATTGCATCAAACGCTCTTTATATGTTTTTCCATTGGTAAAGGTGTATAATTTGGTGTCCTATAGTGAGAAAAGAAATAGTAATACAATGAGAGTTAGTGTAAACAGCTGTACCATCACAGTAAAGTGAGAGGCAGCGATTCGAACATTCCTATCTTCAAATTACAGCCGGCCTCCGTTGGGCAATTTGTAATTTTACCGAAAATGTATCATTAGATTTTTCTTTACGTGAGTAGATCAGCGAGAAAGAACAGGATAGCGAGACAGAGCGAGAAAACAGGATAGCGAGACAGAGCAAGAGAACAGGAGCAAGAGAGAGAACAAGAGAGCGAGAGAGAGAACAGGGGGTGAACAGGAGAGAGAGAGAGAGAGAGAGAACGGGAGACTTGTCTCACACTAAGACCTACCTTGTGGTCTTGTCTCACACACATTACAGTATAAATTATGTACATTTGTAGTTACGTTCGTCAGTGATTAGTAAGATAAATAAAGACAATTTTATTAAGATGCTGACTTTATTTTTTTTAACAGTAGCGTGCTGAGTAGTGAATTCCCTATTTAAGCTTAATAAAGCCTTGAAGATACTTTAGGTGGAAATGCCCTTAATAAAGCAGATGAAAATATCGATTGGATTATTATTATTATTACTCAGCCCTGTATGACCCTTTTGGGTTTAGCGCTTAGTTCTGATTATATTTATGGTGAATTAATAAAACATACTATGCTGGGATGTTGTGTTAGGGGTTAGTGATAGTGGGTTAGGGGTTGGTGGTTCTAAGTAAGTTTATTCAGGTATACACAAATACAGTTACATAGAATTATCATGCATAGCAGCATATGTGTAGAGAATCTGGGATAACCCAAAAAAGTCAGACAGAGTGACTTATTTCCAGTCACTACCACAGGCTGGCTCATCAAGGAAAGTGCAACAGTCTTCCCAAGGTGCACTTATATATAATTGTTGATCTGAGGGTGCTTCTTACATTGCTAAGGTTGTGCGTTGAGCTCTTAAGAGTTTCAGATATCAAGGAACTTAGCTGGCTCTCTTATATTAACGTCTTATATATTGTAAGCGCTGGTACTTGCAAGCAGGTCCCTGAGATCTGGAGAGATTTCATTCGGCGCAGCAAAAATTGGAATGTTTAATGTAGTATACCTGAGATTGTCAACACTCCAGTTAGTACCCCAGAGATTTTAAACGCTCCCTTCAGTTCACTAGAGACTGGAAATCAGAGATTGGAAATCTTCCACTCAGTTGGTATAACCTGCAAACATTTCTGTCACCTCCCTTAGGCGGTTTAGTGAAGAATTCTGCGTGGTGCTCGTCTGAAGCAAGTGTTTGTTTATGGCCTCCAGTAAATGTTTCTTGTGGGTGGTGGGTGGGGGTGTTAGAGTGGAGGTAATATTACTAGAAGTCAACTGAGAGGCGAGTGACGCTTAGTGACTTATGATGTCGAGTGTGAATAATTATTATAATCATGGAGGAGTGCTAAAATCATACGGATTATACAGTACCGGGGAGGGGGATGTAAGGTATTCAGACAATTCAAGGAACTGGAGCACAGATACAGTTCCCTAGATCAAGAGCCCCTCGCCATCGTCAAGGATCCACCCTTGAGGGGCGAGTGTGAATAAGCTTCTTCCCGGTTTCACCTTTATTAGCCTTCACACTTCTTAATGATGATGGTGGCTTGTCTCGGGAACATCAATAACTTGTAGTGTCGTATAGTGGCGCTTTTGCTGCCTAATCAGAAATTAAAATCAGATCAACTCAAAATCTTTTATTTTCACGAAGTGTAGATAGAAATTTCAGTGAGCTCATTTTGGTTACAGGTTTGATATCATTATGACAAATTAAGAGAGCCATTTAATACACAAAGCTTTTTGGCATTTTCATGTTGGTGTATAGTTGTTTGTAGTTGTATATAGTATCGAGGACGGGGCGGGAGGGAATGTCCTTGTGGTATTTTGTACAAAATCCCGATTAGCCGGGCTTTGATGGCTCTATATACAGCAAGAGGCGTGGAGTTAAAAGATAAAGAATCACACATAAAGTGGGAGTTGTCACAGTTGCTCTTTGCTGATGACACTGTGCTCTTGGGAGATTCTGAAGAGAAGTTGCAGAGATTGATGGATGAATTTGGTAGGGTGTGCAAAAGAAGAAAATTAAAAGTGAATACAGGAAAGAGTAAGGTTATGAGGATAAAAAGATTAGGTGATGAAAGATTGGATATCAGGTTGGAGGGAGAGAGTATGGAGGAAGTGAATGTATTCAGATATTTGGGAGTGGACGTGTCAGCGGATGGGTCTATGAAAGATGAGGTGAATCATAGAATTGATAAGGGGAAAAGGGTGAGTGGTGCACTTAGGAGTCTGTGGAGACAAAGAACTTTGTCCTTGGAGGCAAAGAGGGGAATGTAAGAGAGTATAGTTTTACCAATGCTCTTATATGGGTGTGAAGCATGTGTGATGAATGTTGCAGCGAGGAGAAGGCTGGAGGCAGTGGAGATGTCATGTCTGAGGGCAATGTGTGGTGTGAATATAATGCAGAGGATTCGTAGTTTGGAAGTTAGGAGGAGGTGCGGGATTACCAAAACTGTTGTCCAGAGGGCTGAGGAAGGGTTGTTGAGGTGGTTCGGACATGTAGAGAGAATGGAGCGAAAGAGTGACTTCAAGAGTGTATCAGTCTGTAGTGGAAGGAAGGCGGGGTAGGGGTCGGCCTAGGAAAGGTTGGAGGGAGGGGGTAAAGGAGGTTTTGTGTGCGAGGGGCTTGGACTTCCAGCAGGCATGCGTGAGCGTGTTTGATAGGAGTGAATGGAGACAAATGGTTTTTAATACTTGACGTGCTGTTGGAGTGTGAGCAAAGTAACATTTATGAAGGGGTTCAGGGAAACCGGCAGGCCGGACTTGAGTCCTGGAGATGGGAAGTACAGTGCCTGCACTCTGAAGGAGGGGTGTTAATGTTGCAGTTTAAAAACTGTAGTGTAAAGCACCCTTCTGGCAAGACAGTGATGGAGTGAATGATGGTGAAAGTTTTTCTTTTTCGGGCCACCCTGCCTTGGTGGGAATCGGCCAGTGTGATAAAAAAAATATACAGCAACATCCACTTTGATCAGGCAATCAAGTGTGGCCTAAGCCAGGCTTCGAAAGTAAAATCCTGGAAATTGGTCGCAGGTATAAGTCTTAAGTGTATCAGAAAAGGTAGTTTATAATGATAAGTGTGTAAATAAAACATCAGCAACATTAGAATTATAAAGCCACCAGATGCTTTATCAGTGTAATGTTTGATGAAGCCCCTTGGTGGCTTTGTGGATCATTGGATTGATAATGTCACTAGGGACTTTATCATTGGATTGACAAAGTTCCTGATGGACAAAACGTTTCCTTATTAATGTTTGCATACGTTGCACGTCTTACACAGATATTCCTCTTTCATTGTTATCATGTGATGAGTGGCCGTGTAATGTTAATATCGTGGGGTGTCTTGTCAGTGTTGATGTGGTTGGATTTAAGTGCAACTATAACTTCGTCATGGTACTTTGTTCTAACTAGACCTTTTATAATCTTGTTTTATAGCAGCTTTTTGTCAGTTGGTTTGTCGTGGGACGCGCTCTTGTGTTTACGCAAGGCTTCAACTGCAGCAGCAGCGGCGGCAGCAGCTTGCCTCTTCTCAACTGTCACTACCAGAGCCACCTGGAGAGCGATGATGACACCCACTACTATGATTCCCCACGTGAAGGGTTCCATCCTGCAGTATCTTCTTTCCTTCTGATGTCTCTTGGGAACTAGCAGTATCTGCTTTACTCTCTCACTTGCTTGAGCAGCTTGATATCTTGGTGTTTTTTAAGGGTCGTTGGATGGATGATGATGTATTGCGGGGATCGTTGGATGAAAAATGGTGCGTTGCGGGGGTGATGGATGAAAGATGTTGTTTTGCGGGGGTGGTTGGGTGGAAGATGGTGTGTTGCGGAGGGTCGTTGGATGGGTGGTACGTTGCTGTGGTCGTTGGATGGATAATAGTGTTGTGGGGGATGGTTGGATGGAAGATGGCGTGTTGAGTGGAAAAAATGGTGCGTTGTAGGGGTCGTTAGATAGAAGACGGTGTGTGATAACGGGAGTTCTCTTCTCTGGGATTTGGAGAGTGCAATGAGAAAATGCTTCGTGAAAAGAGTTCTTGTTTGATGGATTGTTTGTCGAAAGATTCGAGTGTTCTGGACGAATGGTTGGTTAAAACACTGGTTTTAACTACTGACTGGCCAGCCCATTTTCACCGAGAATTCACGTTCAGAATTCAACATTGCTCGTTGTTCCTGGCCCGTCCGGCTGATGCATTGACTCGTAGGCCACCCTGACTAGCGACTAGTCACCCTTCAGGGCTGACGTTTTAGGTCCTGTAGGGAGTAGAACCAAAATTTAGTTAACATTGCCAGTAAAGTATATTCGGTTATTCTGACCTAGGTAATTTACATATATGTTGCTATGTAAGAAAATTGTAATCACCTAAAACTAGTGGTATTGTACTTGTGTATAATTGTGCCTAAATAAGCTTACATTGGTTGTATTTATTATTTCTACGCGGAACCTAATTAAGATGCGACTCACCCTTAAGCCTTCGTGTTCTGCTTGAAGAAAAACCTCACAAAGAGAACGTTCTTGCCGTACAGTGTACGAAAAAAAGTGGCTCAATTAGTGGTGATTGAGTGTGAACACAGGAGCCATGTTAGTGTGCGGGGAGGTGCGTGTACCCACCACCAGTGTGTGTGTCTCCTCAATATATAACAACATGTGGGAGTTCTTGCTACTCAAGGGGGAGGCAGGAGGACGAGTGCTAACCTGGAATCATAGCTCACACAATATTTTTGTTAGGCTTTAGAATGTCTTTGCTGTTGCTTTAGTAGGCAAGAAAATTATTAGCCTTGGGAAAACGCTATACCCATCGGTCATACAGCGCCTAGGGAATACCTTGAAGGATGAAAAAAAAAGAACAGCATTATAATGCAATCCTTTATTGACAATGTTTTGCCCACACTGGGCGTTATCAAGACAAGGGATTACATTATACTCCTTTTTTTTTTTTCATCGTGTTGGTATTTTGTCATTTGCCTCCATACTTGAAAGATGTTTCATGGAATTAACGCCCATTTCCCCCGCGGCCTAGTCCCAGACACAGCCTCCTGTTGGATCAAGGTCTTATTAACCAGGCTGTTACTTCTGGCCCCCACGCAGTCCAGCGTACGGACCACGGCCCGGGAGTTAATTAGGTTTATGGCAAGGAAATGGTAGCTTTAATTCCTTAAAGAGTAATTTACCAACATCAAGGCACCACCCATGGAAAATCGTCAGGGAAGATAAGATGAAGTTGCTGTATTTCAAATATGCATATGGCGTTCATCTTAAAATCCCTGGATTTTTTTTTTCTAAATCTTAGCCTGTTTATTAAATGATCAAGCTTCTGAAGCTAGATCGTTATACCCCATTACACCCCCGAACACACTGAAGCTTGTGGGAATAAGGCACAGATGCATAATCAAGATATTTATGGAAGATATTTCGATACTGGTAGCTGTATCAGTCCTGTTTGGATTAATAAAGCCACCAGTGGCGTACCGTCCTTCACTGTCTTGATTGTGCATACCTGGAGTGTACCTGGAGGGTATTCCGGGGATCAACACCCCTGCGGCCCGGTCCACCACCAACCCCACCTGGTGGATCAGGGCCTAATCAACCAGGCTGTTACTGCTGGCCGCACGTAGTCCAGTGTACAAACCACAGCCCGGTTGATCCGGCACCGACTGTAAGTATCTGTCCAGCACCCCTCTTGAAGGCACCCTGGGGCCTATTGGTAATTCTCCTTATGCATGGTGGGAGGCTGTTGAACAGTCTTGGGCTCCGGACACTTACGGTGTTTTCTCTTAATGTACCAATAGCGCCCCTACTTTTCATTGGGGGTATTTGGCACCGCTTGCCCAGTCTTTTACTTTCATAGGGAGTGATTTCTGTGTGCAGATTCGAGAACATTCGGGAAAGCAGGCGAGATATATATATATATATATATAATATATATATATATATATATATATATATATATATTATATATATATATATATTATATATATTTTATATATATATAAAATATCTCGCCTGCGTTCCAGATAGCACAAATCAAGTGATTCCAGGCGTTCCCAGTAGTTGAGGTGTTTGATGAAACTTATATGTGCAGTAAAGGTTCTCTGTACACTCTTTAGATCTGCAGTTTCACCTGCTTTGAACGGAGATGTTAATGTACAGTAGTATTCCAGCCTAGAGAGAACGAGTACCTTACCTTTGATATACGTTTGAAGAGTTTCGAGAGTTTCACTGCTCTCGGAGCCCGGCCATGGGTCAGGCTCGTCTGGTGCTTGCCTGGTAGACCTGGCTGTTGCTGCTGGAGTTCCGCTGCCCCACATATCCATCACAGCCTGGTGGATCTGGCATCTGGTGAAAATACTTGTCCAGTTTCCTCTTGAAGGCTTCTACACTTGTTCCAGCCGTGTTTCTGATGTATTCTGGTAAGATGTTGAATAGTCTGGGACCCCGGATGTTGATACAGTGTTCCCTTATTGTCCCCACCGCACCCCTGCTCTTCATTGGGTTTATTTTGCACTTCCTCCCATATCTCTCGCTCCAGTATGTTATGGCAGTGTGCAGATTTGGGACTAAGTCCTCGAGCACTTTCAAGGTATATATTATCACGTATATCTCTCTCCTCCGCTCCAATGAGTACATGTTCAAGACTTGAATGCGTTCCCAGTAATTTAGGTGCTTTACTGGCTCAATGTGATCCGTAAACCATCTCTGTATTTGTTCCAGCTCTGGTATTTCTCCAGCTTTGAATGGGCCCGTCAGCACTGAGCAATATTCTAAACGAGGGAGCACTAGTGATATGAAGAGTGTCACCATCGGCATTATTTCCCTTGTTTTGAAAGTTCTTAGTACCCACCCCGTCATCTTCCTGGCTGTCGTGATCTTTGTCTTATTATGGTCTTTAAAAGAAAGGTCAGCTGACATAATTATTCCCAGGTCTTTTACGTGTTCCTTTCGTTCTATTTGGCGACCCTCTTGAGTTTTGTATATAGTGTTCCTTTTGAGTTCTTCATTCTTTCCATATCTAAGCAGCTGGAACTTACCACAGTTGAACTGCCCACTGAAAAACGCTGCTTATGTCTTCCTGTAATTTTTCAGTGTCCTCTACCGTAGTGACTTTAATGCTTATTTTATGTCATCTACAAATGATGATACAAAAGTGTGAGGATGTATGAGGATGAGAAACAGCAGAGGTGGCAGGACAGTGCCTTGGGGCACTGAGCTTTTTATCTCGCTGATGCTGTAACTTGCTCTGTTTATTACTACTTTTTGTGTTCTGTGTTAGGAACCCGAAAATCCATATGCCTACCTTCCCCTTAATGCCCATGACCCTCATTTTGTGCTCTATCACTCCATGATCGCATTTGCAAAATTTGCGTAAATCACATCTGCGTTTTAGTCGTCTTCCAACGCCTCCGTAATTCTGTCATAATGGTTCAGCATCTGTGATTTGAAGAGGATCGGTATAAAAGCTTAACTGTAATCACTGGACGAATATCATGATGTTCAACGGTAAGAGTCTGACTGCTACGGGGAAAAGAAAGGAATACTGGACACAAAACAGGTAATTTTTGTAGAGGACTAAGAGAAGAGGAAAAGGGAATCTTGAGTCTTGGTCTAAGACATGACTGCTGGGGACGGGGGGAAGGATGATTCCCGGTGTCATCAACATATATACCAGATATGAATAATAATTTCGAACGCCTTGGTATTGTTACATTCAAGGTATACAGTACCGACAAATTGATGAATAAGAGGTGTTGCACGTGTATCATATTCATCAAATGCCGTAGTGTTGAAACACCACGATCAGAAGTAACAATCTGGAAAATATGGTTATGAGAGCTTATCAAACCCGGGAAATCCAATCATTTATGAACACTGGAAGTCCTGTCATTGATAATGTCTTTTCAAGGCCCCTGTACCGCCGCTGCGTCTATAACACTCCCAGGTATTCACATTCACCTGCAAGTCAAGTCACACCTGATATTCCATCTAGGGTGTATACAGAGATCTTGAACGATATATAAAAATCCCATCAGAGAAGGTGACTTGATGCTGGTGATTGGCTCTTGATTCAAGGAATTAGTCACTGAATGAAACGTGATTGCCTCCAAGTCTCCAAGCGCTGCATGTTCCCAACGGCTTTAGTGTTTCTCCATAAATATATATCATAGACGTACTGTGGCCTTCGTGAAGCCTTTCAGTCTTTTGCAACAGAATTTACCATGGGAAATACGTGGAGGATATAATGTATTTGATGGAGAAATAGAGTAAATGTGTAGGATAATAGTACCAGTTGTATACAATGCCGACAAGTTGATAATAAGACACATGCAACACTGCCGTATTTATTCTCGAAACCCTTCGCCTATACGAGACTTCTTGAGTCATTACAGTGACTAAAATTGAAGAATACGGTAATAGCTAGGGTAATGCCCATTGAAAAGTCGGGATGTCGTAAGTACAATTAAGGAATAATAGCAATATCAAAAGTGGAAGACTATTTACATGATACATAAAAAAAAAGCTTGTGAAACAATGGTAAAAATCTTAACAAAGAAGAAATTTGCTACGCTTGACGCAGTAGCGGGAGTCATGCACACTGGTCACATGCTTTATTCTATTTTGCTGCCTCTAAATGCTTAATTCCTTCACTTTTTTTTATTCTTTCTTCCCCTCGGCATTTTAAAGTAATTGATATTTATTTATTTTCTTTAATAACCCAGCATTGTCAACATCTTTTCTGCCGCATAACGCTTCCTCCTCAATCCCATTTCTTTCTCCATTGTTTCAGCACTTTGAACACTTCTGATTATTGCCTTAGCATTCCAAATGGATTATATTCTTATTTTTTTTCCATTGCCTTAGCATTTTTTATGAATAATATTTCTTATACTTGCCTCAGCATTTTGTATGGATGACTATTTTATGTTGGCACAGAGGATGCTAGACTCGTGCAGGATAAACTGTCGTGTTACCCACAAGTGTAAAAACCAAAGACACAAAAGGTGTAGAATAAGATTTTATTGGGACAACGTTTCTCTCGATGTGAACTTGATAAAGTTCTACGTAGAGCGAAATGTTGTCCCAGTCAAAGTTTGTCCTGCAACTGGGTGTCACTTGTCTGCATAGACTCGTGTAAAAAAATCAGAAGCAATGCAGTGTGATATTCTTTTATAAACCGCTCCTCCGTATTTTTGGTGGGGTGTTCCTGTAGGCTGGCCTCTCGCTGCCCGAACACTGCCGACCCATGGTAGCTACACCACCAACCACCACAACCACCACCACTTGCTTCTTTTCACGACCGCGAGAGAGAGAGATAGAGAGAGAGGCAGTGATGGGCATGTCGGGAGAATGGTTGCAGGTTGGTGACGTCTTGAGTTTCATGTTGTTTGGGGGCAGGCAAGGAGGAATGAGAGGGAAGAATGCTAGGGGTGTAAATACTGGGGCAAGGAGGAATGCCTGCGGCAGGATTGATGGGTTGAGTTGTTGGAACAAGAAAGAAGGTATGGTGAAAGATGTGATGGAAAGGTGCAGAGTTACGAGGACGTGAACCCGAGGTAATAAATGAAGAACATGAGGGCAGTGATAGGGGAAAATGAGAGGTGGGGTGGGAGATGGATGCGAGGAAGAGGGGTGGGGGTAGATGGGGAGTTGTGAGATGGAAAAGCATGTGAGAGGGGGGGGGGGTTTATTGTGTGACAGGTTTCATGCAAAAAGGGGTGGGGCAGAAGATGAATGGGGGTGTGATGGGCGCATGTAAGAGGGGTGGGGTAGGAGAGGGGGGGGGATGAGAGATGGTAGTTGTGTGTGGGGATAATGTGAGATGGGTGAAATGGGGGAGGGGCGGGTATAAGAGGGGGGGAATATGAGAAGGTGGAGTGGGAGGTGGTGAGTATGAGGGGTGGGGGGTATAATAAGGTATGAGGTGGGGTGGGAGAAAGGGTGAGTGAGAGAGGGTGGGTATAAGGGGGGGATGGTATGAGAGGGTGGGGTTAAGAGGGTGAGTATGAAAGGGTGGGGTGGGCGATGCGAGTGAGAGGGTGTGGTGGGACATGGGTGAGCGTGAGAGGGGTGGGGTGTGAGATGGGCGAGTGTGAGGGTGGGCTATAAGAGGGTGGTATGAGAGGGTGGGGTGGGAGATGGGTGAGTGTGGGGAGGGGTGGGGGGTTGAGATGGGGAAGTGTGAGAGGGTGGGGTATAAGAGGGTGAATATGAAAGGGCGGGGTGGGCGAAAGCGAGTGAGAGGGTGGGATGGGGAGATGGGTGAGTGTGAGAGGGGTGGGGGTGAGATGGGCGAGTGTGAGAGGGGTGGGGTGTGAGATGGGTGGGGTATAAGAGGGTGAGTGTGGGAAAAGGTGGGTGGGAGATGGGTGAGTGTGAGAAGGGCAGGGTGTGAGATGGGCGGGTGTGAGAGGGTGGGGGGGGAGATGGGCGAGTGTGAGAGGGTGGGGTATAAGAGGGTGAGTATGAGAGGGTGGGGTGGGGGATGCGTGAGTGTAAGAGGGTGGGGTGGGGGAGAAGGGTGAGTGTGTGAGGGGTGGGGTGTGAGATGGGCAAGTGTGAGAGGGGTGGGGTGGGAGATGGGTGAGTGTGAAGGGGTGGGGTGGGAGATGGGTGTGTGAGAGGGGTGGGGTGGGAGATGGGTGAGTGTGAGAGGGGTGGGGTGGGAGATGGGGTGAGTGTGAGAGGGGTGGGTGGGAGATGGGTGAGTGTGGGGGGTGGGGTGTGAGATGGGCAAAGTGTGAGAGGGGTGGGGTGGGAGATGGGTGAGTGTGGAGGGGTGGGGTGGGAGATGGGTGTGTGAGAGGGGTGGGGTGGAGATGGGTGAGTGTGGAGGGGTGGGGTGGGAGATGGGTGAGTGGTGAGGGGTGGGGTGGGAGATGGGTGAGTGTGAGAGGGGTGGGGTGGGAGATGGAAAGAGTGTGAGAGGGTGGGGTATAAGAGGGGTGAGTTTTGAGAGGGTGGGGTTAAAAGGGTGAGTATGAGAGGGTGGGGTGGGAGATGCGTGAGTATGAGAGGATGGGATGGGGAGATGGTGGAGTGTGTGAGAGGGTGGGGTTTTAAGAGGGTGAAATAAAGAGGGGGTGGGGTATAAGACGGTGAGGGATGAGATGGTGGGGTATAGAGGGTGAGTATGAGAGGGTTGGGTGGGAGTGCGTGAGAGTATGGGGTGGGAGATGGGTGAGTTTGAGAGCGTGGGGTTGTAAGAGGGCGGTGTGAGAGGGTGAGGTGTGAGATGGGATGGGGAGATGGGTGAGTGTGAGGGGTTTGGGGTTGGAGATAGGTGAGTTTTGAGAAGGGTGAGGGCATGAGTAGGCGAGTATGAGAGCATGGGATGGGGGATGGATGGGTGTGAGAAGGGTGGGGTAGGAATGGGTGAGTGTGAGAGGGGTGGGTTGGAGATGGGCAAGTGTGAGAAGGGTGGGGGTGGAGATGGGTGAGTGTGAGAAGGGTGGGGTGGGAGATGGGTGAGTGTGAGAGGGGGTGGGGGTGTGAGATGGGCGAGTGTGAGGGGTGGGCTATAAGAGGATGGGGTTGGAGATGGGTTGGGTGTGAGGTGGGTGAGAGAGGGGTGGAGTAGGAATGGGCGAGTATGAGAGGGGTGGGGGGGGGAGATGGGTGAGTGTGGGGTGGGGGGGGGTGTGAGATGGGATGGGAGATGGGTGAGTGTGAGAAGGTAGGGTATAAGAGGGTGAGTATGAGAGAGCGGGGTGGGAGATTGGGTGAGTGTGAGAGGGATGGGGGCCGAGATGGGTGAGTATGAGGGGTGGGATGGGAGATGGGTAGGTGTGAGAAGGGTGGGGTGGGAGATGGGTAGGTGTGAGAAGGGTGGGGTGGGAGATGGGTGAGTGTGGGGGTGGTGGGGGTGTGAAATGGGCGAGTGAGAGGGGTGGGGTGGGAGATGGGTGAGCGTTGAGAGGATGGGATGGGAGATGGGTGAGGGTGGGTGTAAGAGGGTGAGTGTAAGAGGGTGGGGTGTAGAGGGGTGAGTGTGAGAGGGGGTGGGGTGTGAGAGGGTGGGGTGTGAGATGATTGTGTGTGAGATGGGATGGGAGATGGGTGAGTGTGAGAGGTAGGGTATAAGAGGGTGAGTATGAGAGAGTGGGGTGGGTGGGAGATGGGTGAGTGTGAGAAGGGTGAGGGCAAAAGATAGGCGAGTATGAGAGGGGGTGATGGGAGATGGATGGGTGTGAGAAGGGTCGGGTGGGAGATGGGTGAGTGTGAGAGGGATGGGGTGGGAGATGGGTGAGTATGAGAGGGTGGGATGGGGGGGTGGGTTGAGGTGTGAGAAGGGTGGGGTGGGAGATGGGTGAGTGTGGAGAGTGGTGGGGGTGTGAGATGGGCGAGTGAGAGGGGTGGGGTGGGAGATGTGAATGTGAGAGGGGTGAGGGCATAAGATAAGGGAGTATGAGAGGGGGGGATGGGAGATGGATGGGTGTGAGAAGGGTCGGGTGGGAGATGGGCGAGTGTGAGAGGGATGGGGTTAGGAGATGGGTGATATGAGAGGGTGGGATGGGAGGTGGGTAGGTGTGAGAAGGGTGGGTTGGGAGAGGGGTGGGCTCTGTGAGGGGTGAAGGTTGAGAAAGGACTGTGAAGGGTGGGAGAGGGGAATGTGAGAGGGATGAGTGTGTGAAGGACGAGAAGGGGAGAATGAGAGGGATGAGTGTTAGGGGATTGGGAGAGGGTGGGGGTTGAGATGGTTGAGTATGAGGGGTAGGGTGGGGATTGAGAGGGGTGAGTGTGAGGGGTGGGGTGGGTGTTGAGAGGGGTAAGTGTTAGGGGTGGAGTGGGAGAGGGGTGACACAAATTGCTGAAGACATAATACGACTATTGATTCATTATACAGACTATTAAGCAAGTCATTATATAGACTATTAAGTGAGTCATTATACAGACTGAGGGTTAATACCCTAGTTAATGTGCTTCACTGTTGTGACATCAAACTCTGTCAGTATTTATGTAACCCCCACTCTGCTAAAACAAGGCAGTAATAGTATGCCCGTGCACTGTGCCCCAACCCCTCCCCTCACATACCTTATTGAGACAGTCTTAGACTTAAATGACATCCCCAAATAACCACTGAAATTGATCTCTTTTGCAAAATTGGTAGTAAAACAATCATGAGGCACTGATATCGTACATAATCTGAAATTTTTAAAGAGTTTAAAGAAATAATATTGCAAGAAAATTATTTCACTTAACAGAGAACAATTTGAATTTATCATAGGATTCTCCTGCATTTAGCAACAGCTAGACAACTGCCACACAATTTTGGATGCACAGGAGGACATACAGCATAAAAACAATACTTACACAGTGTACTACTATAACTTTCAAAGTGTGACTTTGGTGTACACATAAATTATGTGCAACATGACTTAACTGGAAATATGTAAAGATCAAGTATACATCTTCAGTTTTATACTAAACTGGAATCAGAATAATTCAACAGTGCACAATCTGAAGCCTCCGCTGTGAAGGGTTGTGTTCCTCGAGGTGCAGTACTCGCCCATTACTTTTTCATATCTTCCCTACGTGAAAATATTAACCATAGTGCATGTCATCCTTTGCAGACAATAATTCTGTATATTTTTTGTATTAGAAATAGAGATAAATCATAGAACTATATCATCCTTTACAAATAATAATAGAATTTTTATTAGAATAGGAGCCATTGAGGACATAGCAGACTTACATAAACAAAGTTATCCAGTGAACCACAGAAAACAAAATGATGATCAGTGAGGGCATACAGTATTACAGCTGAAATGTTATTGGAAGACTTTGTGAAATCATGAAAAAACAATAATAAACCATGTTCAGCAATTACTGAAGTCATAAGAGCTGGTGACTTTTTTTTTCCAAACTCTGCTTATTCTATTAATCGTAAGGAACGTATCAGTCATTTGCACAGATTCTACAAACTTCTAAAAAAAAAGATAGAGATGGACAGCATCAATATGAATTTGGCAGCCAGGCCTGAATTCTGGAGTTTTATGCTTATCAAGGCAAAATACCACTAGGATGAGCACTGCTTTTTTTTTTTTTTTTTAAGCAAAATCTTAGATTAGGTGAAACCCAAGAAGCCCTGAGAGATATAGACATAACGTCCTTTGTAAAGAAAGGAGGCAACAGAGCAAGGGACAAAATAAAATTGATCAGTAGCAGTAACATCACACACACTAATAAGAAGTCAGCAAGTGCTGAAATATCAGCTTCCATAAGGCCAGGAATTTAGTGTAACCATTCTTGAGTAATTAGGAGATGACACCAGGAGCCACAACTCAACTCTGACAGTCACAACTAGGTGAATGCACACCTCTCATTTATATGATAGACTAAACAAAAGCAGGTGTTAGTCAACTGTTGTATCACATCCACATAAACATATGTGAGAAATATTTATTCCTGCAGGAATGTCATAACCTGTGTAAGAAATCTGCACTCCTGTGTGTAAGAAACTCCAGTGGTACCTACTTGAAGTATCCAAGTATTGGATTAAAGGCATTCATGTACCTAGTGATGTTTATATAGAAAATAAATAAATAAATAAATAAAAGATTTCCACCATCATGGAATAAAGTGGCAGCACACTGCCCATATACAGTTTTATTAAAAAAAAAAAAAGAAGGTCCCCACTGTTCTCCCTCACAAATATTTCATCCCCTATTCCCTCTCCTTCACCTTGCTCCTCTCCTATCTCTTATATTCCACCACTCTTCCCTTTTCTACTTGCCACTGCCTTTTCATTTCCTTATTCACTCTGAATCACCCTTCCTGTCCCTCTACACCACACACTCCATCATTATCACCCACCCTTCCATATCTCCAACATCTGCACTTTGATCCTCCCTTTGTGTTCCACCTTCTCCATTTCCATCATCTTCCAACACTATACCATTCTCCATTTGCCCCTCTCTTTTCCTGTATTACCTTCCTTCTCTTGCCTCCAATCTACATTCTTCTACACTTTACAAGTTCCACAATCCTTCCCCACTCCCACCACCTTCCCTCTCCCTCACAGTCAATTAACTTTTCTCTTCCACTTCTCACCTTGTTGTCTTTGGTTCACTAGTAGACATTGTTTATATTGGTATACATCCTTAAAGGTAGATTCCTTGATGCTCATGAAGGCCTTTTGATCCAAGGAATTGGAGTTACCATCCCCTATTCTGGACTGAATCAGACTGCCTTCCATTTTCCTGGCACATGACCATTACTTCCCCAGAAATATAATAATATAATAACACTGTCTTGGATGTTCGCTGCTGTCTCAAGTGGACGCCACTCCTACATGTAATATAGTATTGTCTATGATTGATGATAGTACACTGGTTTTTTTTTTATCTTGCTCTATGTCAGGTATGAGAAAGAAGAATTAATTGCAACTATGGAGCTGGACACACAACAAGGCTGAGGGACTGACTTCCTCATTCTTCTTTACTTCATGGCTGAGGGATTTATCACCTCATACCTACATCTCCACTACTTTTGTTGTCTCTGTATTTTAACTGAGGAAGCCTGCTTAGCAGGTGAAATGTCTTGTCAATAATTTACCATACTATCATATATGTGTCTTATTCATCCTCTTGTCAGCATTGTATACCATAAATATAATGAGATTGAGAAAGAATTTGAGCAATAACTGTCCCTTGAAGATAGTTTTCCAAGGCAAAAGTGTGTTGCATGGCAAAATGCTGACATGTTGACTAACAGATATTTATTATGCAACATTTCACTCAAAACTTAATCTTTTTAACCCATCACTAAAAGGCTCACCCCTCAAAGGATGTTTCTTGTTACTTATGAGGGGCTCTTGATTAGAAAATTGAACTTTTCTTTCCTTCGGTCAAACCTGATTTCTTCCCATTTCTTCAGGTGCTGTATGACCCTTACACTCCTACAAGTTGACTGCTTCCCCCTACATATAATAATAATAATTTTAAAATCTCACTTTTGAGTGAAAGGTTGACAGATAGTGTTGTTCAGCTATAAGTGCCACCTTATAACCTCAAGGTGGAGGCTGTTGAATTAACTTTGTTAGCGTGACTGTTACTCTTCGAGTCCAATAATTCATTTTCCATGCATTTTGAACATAATTGCACGTTAGTTACACATATGAAAAGCTCGTTGTTTGTGTATATTGTGTGTGCATTTGCCTGAATTTCAGTGTGTTCATAACTATGTAGTATTAATAGTGCAGTATGTATGAGAGGCAGGAGCACCTTTGCACGAACCATGTTCTGGGTTTTGTAAATGTTATGATTACAGTACAGTGGTCCCTAGAGTTACGAAGGTCTTGAGTTATGATTTACCCTCATAAACGAATTTAGTTTTGAGTTGTGATGAAAATTTTGAGTTGCAATATGCATTTGTAATTTAATTACACCATGCAAAAGTGTTATCAGGTCATCATGGCTAGCACTAAAGAGCTCAGTAAATAGGCAATGTCTTTGAAGATCAAGCAAGAAATTGTGGAAAACTTGTTGAAGGAGTTAGAATTAGTGCATTGGTGTGCGAGAGTGGCTTTCCACAATCAACCAAAAAGAAATTCTCAAAGAATATTAAAGTGGCTGATGAATCTAAGCTGGTAAAAAATGACAGAGAAATTATCATAGGGACCACTGTACATAACACACTTTAGAAATTCTGATTTGTAATAGTGAGACATACCTGTGATGTGTTTGAGGGTTATTCTCTCCTTACATCCAAGCCTGAGGTCAGGCTTTATTTTGATTGATTGATCAACCAGATTGTTGCTGTTAGTGGCCTGCAGGTCTGCATTCCATCACAGCTTGACTGATCTGGCACATGTGGTAGATAGTGATCCACTTTCCTATTGATAACTATCAACCTTCAGTGACTAATTGTTCAGGAAAAGGTAAGATATTTCCTGTAGTTACTGGTCCAATTTATCAACATACACACTAGCCACTACTGGAAACTGCTGCTCCAAAAAAATGAAGAATTTTCTTACCTTTGTTTTTTATCTCTGTAATGATTAGTTTGAAGTGTCTACAAGCCTCAAGAGTGTTTCTTAAATAATTGGAAATTGGACAATTTTGGTAACTCTGGCTGCACTTTTACTGTTTGAGTTTGTGAATTACAGTTCACTCTTACATTGCTTTTCGACAGATGAGGTTCAGTTTAATGTAAAGTTGCTAGAGAGGTGGTGAAGTTTGAAGTGCCCAAGGTGCAGCCAAGCAAGACTGGTGGGGAAGGTTCTGTTGGAGGGAGGTTGGTCCACCATCATCATCTAGCCCGGACATCCCACACAACTCACCGGATGTGATGACCATCCTGATAACACTACCTGTCGCTTGTCCTACTTGACAATGGAATACCCATGATACACTTTTACAAGTTCTACTCTCTCAACTTTAACTGAGGCCATGCTTCCCTAATGACCAGACAATTGTTGTCTGCAGGCCTTCATAGTCATAATAACCTGGCTGATCTTACACATCTTACAGGAACTTGTTCAGTTTCCTTTTTGAATACTTAGCTTGGCAGTGCAGTACTGTACATATTTTTTGTGTCTGCTATTAGCAGATTGGAGAATTGTAAACCTTAGATGTTGATGCATTACTCTAAATCTGACTGTGCTTACAGTGTTTTGACTTGAAATGAGTATTCTCCACTTCTTGCCCATGTCACTCACATGTGTAAACTATGTGCACAGACACACACATGCACACACACAGGCAGACATGCACACACAGATAGACATGCACACACAGATAGACATACACACACACAGACATGCACACACAGACATGCATACATGCACATACACTCAGATACACAAACACAAACATGATAATACATACATATGCAGTTGTATTTTCTTTGCAACATATATTATGCCAGTTATCTGTATTTTATAGCATCCTTGTTTTTAAGTTATTTTAAAACATAATTATGCACTCAGAATGAGTGGTCATGGAGTATGGTAAATATTTATTTTGGGCAGCAGATGGTAGTACCTACCCGGAATAAAAATTTCACCTTTTCATCTCAGAGTTGCTGAAACACCTCAGTGGAACCCTCATTTTTTTTTTTTTTTTTTTTTGACAACCAGAATGAAATGGCAACTTTTGCTGTCATAGATATTCTACTGTGATATGTCAACTTTGGTGGTGAAAGGGATAAAATGAAATACTGTATACAGGTTACATTGTAATCATGTTTACATTTAAACAAAAGATGTATCATTGTATACCATTGCAAATTTAATAGGAAAGAAACACCAGGTAAGGAATATTCAAGTTGATTTTTAATTAGTTTTTCAAAGGAAATGGTCAAAATTTGAAGTCAGAAGTCAGTCTGCTAGAGGAATTTTTTGCAATACCTTCCATAGCATACATGTTAATGAACCCCTTCACTATTGTTATCAAAGTATTTTGTGAAGTATTCTACCCTTAATTATTATTCTCTTGATGTCAGTCATTCTTTGCATATATAGACAGCAACCATCTTGGGAGATATTGTACTATGTTCTTGCCTTGCAAATGTTTGTATAGAAACCTGTTAAATGTTTTGTGCTCTTGTAACATTTTTTTTCTTTCTGTCTCATGATGGAAAATGGCAGATAAATCTTAAAAACTTCTGCTTACAGTTTGCACCTATCTTTACCTTAACCCTGCGTTTCATAATAGCTCTGGTTCCTGTAATATTGTACGTATTTCCAATTAGGAGGCTTGGCCTGAGACCAGGCTGCCAGTCCTGATACCCAGACCCAAAAACAGTTATACAGTACTGTAACAAAGCATATATAGCTAGTGATGTGATGTATGTATAATGTTTAGGACTTGTCACAAGCCCAGCATCTCTGCTGGAAAGGGTAATCATTGAGCATGACTGCAGATCTCTTTACCCTCCTTTCTGCTTTTTTTTTTTTTATCACATCGGGCATTATCTATCAAGCTTTTGTGGGGGAAAATGAATGAATGAATGAATAAATAAATAAATAAATAAATAAATGTATATTTATTTTTAAATCATTCATTCATTTATTCATACACATTTGCTGGTTTACCTTCCTTAAATAAAATTCTCATTTTTTTCCAGTGCTAATAGATTAGTTTTTCATCAACCCAAGGTGATACAGTATCCCCCCCTTTTTTTTTTTTAAGAAGTATCCAATATTAGCTACTTCAATTCTTAGCGTACTTCACTGGACTGCATTTCAGTTGCCTGTTGGTGATTCATATGTGTCATCCGAGGTGACTTTTTTGCAGACATATCTTGAAACTTCGGGAGCAAGGGGCTAGTAACCCCTTCTCTTGTATATATTACTAAATTTAAAAGGAGAAACTTTCGTTTTTCCTTTTGGGTCACCCTGCCTCGGTGGGATGTGGCCGGTGTGTTGAAAGTAGAAAGAAAGATCTTGAAACTTGATATTTTTAAGAGCATAAGAAAGAAGGAACACTGCAACAGGCCTACTAGCACATGTGAGGCAGGCCCAAGTCACCTCCAGGCTTAAATCAATGACCCATCTTATCAGGTCAGGTCACATCCAACTTACACACCCACCCACACCCACCCACACCCACTCGTGTATTTATCCAACCTACTTTTAAAACTACATAACGTCTTAGCTTCTATGACGGTACTTGGGAGTTTGTTCCACTCATCCACAACTCTATTACCAAACCAGTGCTTTCCTGTATCCTTCCTGAATCTGAATTTCTCCAACTTAAAACCATTGCTGAGAGTCCTGTCTTGGCTACATATTTTTAGCATGCTATTTACATTTCCTTTATTTATTCCAGTTTTCCATTTATACACCTTGATCATATCCCTCCTAATTCTATGCCTTTCGAGAGAGTGCAGATTCAGGGCCCTCAGTCTGTTCTCATAGGGAAGATTTCTGATACATGGGGTCAATTTTGTCATCCTCCTTTGTACGTTTACCAGTGCATTTACAGTGGTGCCTTGACTTACAAGTTTAATTTGTTCCATGACTGAGCTCGTAACTCAATTTGCTCATATATCAAATAAATTTTCCTCATTGAAATTAATTGAAATGCCATTAATCCGTTCCAGCCCCCAAAAAACCACCCCAATGTTTTTGTTATGGGTTTTTAAATGAGAAAAATGTATTTATAAATGAGAAATAGTGTAATAAAAACATAATGGAAGAGAATGCAAAGAAATAAACTGGTTTTATAGTGTATTTACCTTGGAGATCAGATGACTTGGGCTAATGAAATATGCTGGCAGAGGTGGAGGGTGGAAAAGATAGGCAGAGGAGATTGGAGGAGTTCGTTTCATTTCGTACTTTTTCGGTCGCTTTCGTTTGTCATAAACTCTATCACTTAATCGTTTAACTTGACTCACGAAATCGTAATGACATGATTGCAAACAACCTATACCACGGGTGGGGGTTAGAACCTCAGATCAGAGATTCTCACGGCCATGCTAGCGGGAGATTTGTCTGTAAACACTTGCATCTGTGGTCACAGTGGTGCCAATGCTAACCTTCCTATGGTGTAGAAATATACCTAGTTGGATGAATCTTATTGAAGCTAGCTGGCCCAGTGGCTAATGCGATGGTCTGGAGTTTTGAGACTCTCTGATCGTGGGTTCTAACCCCATCTGTGGTATGGTTCGCTTAACTTGCTACACTCTTAATGCTACACTTTATTGCTGAACTTAATTGCTACAATTTTTTTTTCACTTCACTTTCACTGGTTTTTGTCTCTTTTGCCACTCTTTCCTCACTTTCATCTGCAGGACGTTTCAATAAAAACCTGTCCAAGAAGGTTTGTTTTATCCTCCCTTTCAGAATGTTTCAGAAATGAGTTAGGCAAGTGTCATTAAATAGCACCGACACACGACCAGTTGCAACTTTTTCTGGGTGTTTCCTTTCAATAAACTCTGAAAGTCTCTCCCAGATTCCCAACATTTCTTTTATCTCACTTGTAGAGATAACCTCCTCCACATCTGGCTCCTCTGTGGTACTAGTTTCCTGCAAAACCTCCATGTGCTGCTGCGTCTGTAGTTCCTTTAACTCCTCCATCGTCAGTTCCTCAGAGTGCTCCTTGATGAGTTAGTTCATATCTTCTTCATCCACCTCCATGCCCATGGACATTCCGAAGGACACAATCTCCTCCACCATTGCCGCTTCGGTTTCGAATCCTTCAAAGTCCCTTTCGGACACAACCTCAGGCCACAGCTTCTTCCATGCAGAGGTCAAGGTCCTCCTTGTAACACCCTGCCAGGCCATATCTAATTCTGAGGCATATCATGATGTTATAGTGGTCCTTCCAGAATTCTCGAAGGGTGAAGTTTGTGCTCTCCGTTACCTCAAAGCAGTGGAGGAACAGGTACTTGGTGAAGAACTTCTTTAAATTAGAAATCACCTGTTGGCCCATGGGCTGCAGGATAGGGGTGGTGTTGGGTGGAAAGTAGAGAACCTTTATAAACTTGACTCTTCTTTGAGGTTCAGTGGGTCAGCAGGTGCATTGTCCAGCAAGCACAACACGAGAGATGCGTCCATGACGAGGTAACCACATGCACTAAATGAGTGAGACGCGGGATGCTGGGTGGATGCTGTGGCATTCGCTGAGCCAACTAGTGGCGGTGTATCTGAAGCTTGCTCATAACTTGGATTTTGGATCGCATCTCAAAGCAAAAAATTGACCACACGACAGCTTGTAACTTGGAAAACTCAAAAGTTGGGGCCCTCAAAAGTCAAGGTACCACTCTATATCCATTCAGTAATAGTGACCAGAACTGTGCAGCATAATCTGAATGAGGCCTAATTAACAATATATAGAGTTGAAGAATCCTTAGCTTGATTTGGTTTTAGATTGCTGCTAACCAGAACTCCCAAATTGTTTTTGCAATCAGTAATATTAAGATCTACATTATTTAGTTTATATGTGGCATGGTTTTTTCTTGTCCAATGTTTAGTACTTTGCATTTGTCTTCAGTGCTAGTCACGGCATTAT